TCTCTATCATCAGTGTTGAGTCCTGGAAGGATGACATTTAATTCTCTCTATCATCAGTGACGAGTCCTGGAAGGATGACAACATTTAATTCTCTCTATCATCAGTGTTGAGTCCTGGAAGGATGACATTTAATTCTCTCTATCATCAGTGTTGAGTCCTGGAAGGATGACATTTAATTCTCTCTATCATCAGTGACGAGTCCTGGAAATATGAAACAGCTATAATCATCAATATTAAATCTTATACTAAATTTGGATTTCTTGGAGTGTTAAAACGATAAAATCCATTATCTAAATTCAAGTATATGAGATTAAACAGACATTCTATACCCATCCTAAAGTAGTTTGAGTCTAAAAGGGATTAAATTATCGTAATAACAATGAAATTCAACAAAAACTAAGAACAGCACAATTTCGCTCGAGACCGTCCCTCACGTGTTCTTAGCCAATCAAAACGTCTCTTTCAACCGCTGATGACGTAGAAGCTCCGCCCACTTCCAGTCAAGTTGTCGATAGATTCGGTGAGGATGTAGGTCGAGGCATTTTAAAAGGCTTAAATGTTTATGTATATGCGCTATCTGTCTAAATTGTTGTTTATATTGATTCTATCTGAACATAACTAAAACTTGTATTTGTTCACTGAAGTAGATCGGCACAATCACAGACATCATGGAGAGACATCGACAAAAGATAGTGACGGGAGACTCATCCAAAGTTGTCAGTACGTTTCTTTCTAACGGAGATTGGGCTTCATGTATCATTCTCTATATAATTATCTAGTAAAGGTAGGAGACAATACCCTGTGATGTGATTTCATTTAGCTGTAATATCATTCACTGAAATTGAATCCTGGATTGAGAATATCACCTACTGTTACAATTAGCGTGTTTATGGAGGTTCTGACATTACCAAGGAACTCATTTGAAAAGAATAAAAGTGAATAGGAATTTGTCAGATAGATTATCAATATTGTACGCTCCTCTTTACATTTCAATGATACATTTAGTATATCATTATCATAAATTTCTCCAAAGTTGATGCCGATCGACTGTCTTAACCGGAAAGATGGCCGCCATATTTGGGCTAGCGTCAGAAATGATGTGTTTATCGGGGATTAGATCATGCAAGTTATCCAATAGAAAGGTGTGTTACATAACCATTATCTAATAATGTATCTTATACCATATTAGTATTAAAAGTATTCAAAATCAAAAGTCTTTTTGTACAATCCATAAACATGAACCTTATGATTCACTGCAAGACTCAACAATATTTTTTTGTCATCAAATGTTGTGGACACGATTTAATGTTCAAAATGCATAATATAAGAGGCAACAGTGATATAAAAATCCCTCTGGTGTTAAATTGACTAGATGGTTTGTTAACACTATCACACAATGGAAGGGAGGTAAATCAGAATACACCCTCACAACTTCATTTTGTATGTCGTTTTTAATACAGTGTAGTTGTTTTATATGTCCATGACTACCACTTGTCTGTTTCAAGATTCTGTTTGGGTTTACTATCCCGTAGTTCAATCATTAATTGCCGCTTACGTAATTCACGGTCACTCGATGTTACACCATTAGGGGTTTCTTTACTGTGTCCTTATCTATACAAACCACAGCCATTATTAACTCGTCACTAATTGTTTTCTAAAAGTTAACATTTTTTTCTCAATTGCTCCGAAATGATATGAACAAACTATATAAAAAGGTCATATATGATATATGCCACTGAAAGGAAAAGGCACCATTAGGTCCAGGAGCCCACTTCCAAAACAACACAACAATTCTTACACCCGACAGACGACTCCAACATATGAGGGAGTGCAAGTCATCCTCTAACGCCACCAGAACACACTTTTGTTGGTGGGACAACGCCTAGAAAGAGAAATAGTCAAGGAGACAGAAACCGAATCAACCAACGAATCAGTCCGGGGAGCTATATTTTGAGATGCATGTGCATTGCTATGTAGGATTACACTGCGTTGTAGGTGCGGTCTTTTCATGTGAACAGTTACATCCACACCCTACATATGTATGCTGATGCTTCTGAATACAGAAGTCCGAAACGAAGGGTTTGGTATTAAATTATAATTCAAAAACGGTTATTGTGGCGGATAACCAAGACGTTAATTGATTGGGTGAGTCCCTAACTGTGATATTGCTCCGTGAATGACGTTTCACAGTTTGTTGCGGCTGTCTGATTTACGCTATATATCTCCTGACCAAACGTCCATACGATGACCACTACCTACTGACCACTGTTTTATACTGATTATGATATTAACCTAATCAATAAGTTTTATTAATCAAATTATTAAGTAAGCCATATCAAAGTACAGGTATCAGCTAGTGGCCATAGTTGTAGACGTAACGTCAGTAATATCCTACAATAGAAGAACTGTGTAGAAACTGTGGCCAGGCGGGTTATAAAATACCACACGTCCATTATAATACCCATTAAATTACCGATGATGTAAAATAACGACTCTTACGGCTGGAATTCTTCAGTGTTGTTATGGAGGACAGAAAAACAATGAAAAATACCAAGATATTCAGAAAATCACGAAACAAGCCTAAGACAGTTGCCACCATGACAAATGGTAAACAAAGGAAACATTTATACTCAGGCCCTTGAAAAATACCAGGAGAACCGTTTGGTTGTTGTACAAATCTCACCTAAACCTCTACAAACCTTCAATATATCATGTTCTCTCCTCATCCGAACACATGCATTCCTCTAATGACACACTGTATGTGTTATATCAAAGGTGAAGTAAGATATTTGGGAATGTTCGTTCATATAAAATGAAAATCCTAAATACATTGTACAGATAAACAATCGAAATTAACACATTTAGTTTGACGTGTTTATGTAATATCAAAAGCTCAGTTTCATTTTGTCTGTTGTTGTTGTGGTTCTGGGTTTCTTAAATCAATCTAGAAGGCTCCAAATTTTATGGCCAGTTTCTCAAATATTCGTACTTTTGTACAACGCGTTTCTTTATCAAGCTGTGTGTACTGTCCGGTTCAATGTAACTGCTTCAGATATAACGATGACTTCACACACAAAATCTGAGTCACACTGAAATGACGTCATCTTTTATATCGCACCTTCTTATCAGGGTTTGGAGAAAATGTCTTTGATAACCTATATAGGTCATTGACATGTGATAGACACGCACCTTACCTGACGATTCCACAAATATCATGTATATCGTCTTTATGACGTGATAGCAAATCCATTTCATGCCAACGTTGTCCATCCCGCCTCCCGACAACATTCGGAATATATTAGCTGAACAGTTTGGTCCGTTGTGTTATGCTGAGCTGACACTTAATGTACGACAGCCGATAACGGACATATTTTTCCTATCTCTATGTACCGATTAATGGTACATAAAAACAATTTTCATATCAATCAACTTTTAATGTTACACAACGATGTAATGTTCGTCTTGTTTAGGTGTATAATAAGTAATGCGATAGACTTTTAATAACACATATGCACGTGATTTTTGCATGGTTTAGTTGAATGCTATGCATGATCAATGGTACATAAAATAGGTCTTTCCATCATTAAGTGTCATGCGATGAACTTTTTACTAGTGCATAAAAATCTTATTTTGGATAGAATTGTTTACCGCAATGTAACTTTTAAGGTGTATGTAAATGTGATGTTGTTTTCTTCCCACATCCTAATGTTTGTACTGCTTCTAAATACATTTTAAATTTAACAACTTTAGCATTATTTTGCTTCATAGTTCTTTGTTCTAGTTTCAAAACCCATCTGACGCAGAAATCCTGTGTATCCCAGTTAGACTAAGAATGGTAGATTTTCATGATTTTCACGATTGGTGCACTACCACAGTTCCTATTTTGAGAGTGTGACATTATTGTGATTCCTCTGATATTGTATAAATAAGTAATAACATTTATGTCGTCAATAACATCCATATGATAACATATTGATATCATGGAGTTGATCAGCTGATCGGCAGCTCCAGTGAACCCAATTTCTTTACCCTTATTCCAAGATGTTGTTGTCGTAATTTAAATATCAAATTTAACTTGTGAGATAGGGTCACGGATGGTTCATCTTTACTAACCGGTTACAAACGCATGTGATCACACCAGAAAGATTGTATATTACACACACACATACGTGATTAGTACCTGTAAATACAATTTTAGAGTTAGACACAATAGAGCCAAACAATGGATTATACTGAATTGTACAGTTGTTTTGTTCTTCTGGGACTTGTCAGCGATACTAACGGCCTAAATTACGAAGCCTAGGAGGCGACTGAGTAAAACCCGAAGTGTTCGAAAGAAAAGTCAAAATCAACACGGGAAGGTGTCCTAGCCCCATAATTAGATAAATTCATAAATCACATAATTTTAGAACAATGTGGAGTACATGCCTATATTCTGAACCGTTCCACAGGTTTGTCAAGGGCTTACGAAATATTACATACCAGAAATAACCATAAAAGGTTATCTCCTTATGTTGTACCCAATGGCTTGCAACTTGTATTTTGTAATCGAGAGAAATGTTTCCCTGGTTAATACTGCGGATGGTTAAACATTGTAGATAATATATTGATACATTTTTATGGTCAAGATCATCCTTATGAACATCTTGAAAGTTTGTTATGCCTTACATATATCACAAATTTCTGACCGATTCTTGACCATCGTAGAAATGTCAATCGTGGTAGTTTTATAAGGGTAGAAAGCTAAGATCAAACCGCTATCGTCCCGAGATAATGAAGATCTAGGTCATTGCTAGGGTTAAATTCGAGGTCGTCAATATTGTCAGAAGTACGGATGAATGTAATCATTATTTGTTGTCGGGTAGAGGCAGACAGATGTACCCGGTGTCTGTCAGCTTGCGTGTGTTGTAATCTATACTAACAGTTCATAAAGCACAAACCACGAGAGAAAAATGGATTTACCTAAAGGAACAGCCATTATTTATATGGTTTTGGTAATAATGTATGGGTGCGTTAGTGCCGAAATTACAGTGTCAAATGTGGCATCAATCAGCCCAGACTCCACGACGAACCCGGGGCCCAGTGTTGGTGTCACGGACAGTCCAAGCCCTGCCTCAAAACCGGGAACAAGTGTTGGTGTCCTGGGCAGTCAAACCCCTGCCTCAAAACCGGGAACAAGTGTTGGTGTCACGGGCAGTCCAACCCCTGCCTCAAAAACGGGACCTACTGTTGGTGTTACGGGCAATCCAAGCCCTGCCTCAAAACCGGGAACAAGTGTTGGTGTCCTGGGCAGTCAAACCCCTGCCTCAAAACAGGGAACAAGTGTTGGTGTCACGGGCAGTCCAACCCCTGCCTCAAAAACGGGACCTACTGTTGGTGCCACGGGCAGTCCAAGCCATTCCCCAAACCTGGGACCAAGTGTCGGAGCCACAAGCCATCTGATCTCCGACAAAACCCAGCCACCCAGTGTTTCTGTCATGGGAAGCTCGACTCCGACAGGAAAACCGGTGCCAAATATTGCTACTACAAAAATCCCAACATCAGTGAAAAATCAGACAACTCAAACCTCATCAGCAGTAAACACGAATTTTTTTGAAAATATACAAAAGTTTCTATTAAATTCCCAAGCCACCAAACTTATTCAGAATCAAATTGGAGACTTCATTAAAACCAACAATGTCTCGTTTCCTATCTCAGTCATGACACCAGAAAATTTACAAAAAGTCCTACAGTTACTTGGCTCTGGTTCCAATAACTTACAAGGTATTTCTCAGTACGCGGGATTGCTCGGGAACTTTTCTAATGATCTACGGAATGTTACTGAAGAATTGGAACAGCACATCTCACCTCAGTGTTTCAGTCACTTAGAATTTCTTGTCTCGGAACTTCTGAAAAGGGAGCAATGGGCATTCAAAAGTAAGTAGTATCACGATGGGCGATCAACAGTAAGTATCACAATGGACGATCAAAACTAAATAGTATCACGATGGGCGATCAAAAGTAAGTAGTATCACGATGGGCGATCAAAAGTCAGTAGTATCACGATGGGCGATCAAAAGTAAGCAGTATCACGATGGGCGATCAAAGGAAGTAGTATCACGATGGGCGATCAGAAGTAAGTAGTATCACGATGGGCGAACAAAAGTAAGCAGTATCACGATGGGCGATCAAAGGAAGTAGTATCACGATGGGCGATCAGAAGTAAGTAGTATCACGATGGGCGATAAAAAGTATGTAGTATCACGATGGTCGATCAAGAGTTATTCTTATCAATGTATTTTATTCTAATTGTTTCCCATGTATAACAAGTATGACATTTATTTGTCTAGAACAGCTGCCGACTTTCCACCGATTTTACCTGTATGTTTTTGACGTACTCTGTCCCGATTGTCTTGTCAACGATATAATGTATCTAAATGATAATACTTACTCCCCGATACAACCTCAGTGGTGTCATCCCTTTCCGTAAGATTATCAATTATCGATACACTGGTGACATCTATACATAACATGTGACATTAATATCGATTGCATTACCATCATTCTTACTAATTGATTTTAGTTTTCAATAAAGTGGTGTTATCCTGGTATTTGTACGGTTTCAGTGATAGACGCTTCAGGAAAGATCCCAGCCGGAATTCTTGATGGAAACATGGTGTGGATGGGTTCATACGACGAGTGTCTGAAGGTCGATACCGAGAAGTTCCAAGGGCAACACTGCACGACTACTCTTTCTGTTGCTTCGATACTGGTATTATTTATTTACCTGGTCACATGATATATTAACCAGATCACATGATGTATTTCGCAGGTCACATGACGAGTGTACTTGATCATATCTTTTTTTATATGAATAACGACATATCAAAGAAACTCGATAAAAACATAATGGAAGAGACAGGTCTGAACTGTGTAAACTGATTTCATTCAAAGTAATATCGTATTTGAAGCGAGAGTCGATTGATGGAGTCACGTGACCTGCTGGCATATATCGAATAAGACTAGGTGATTCAGAATTGTTAGCGTCCTCCGCTTCTAGATCATTGCATAACGGTTACTCCATGAGGTGACACCCTTGATAAAAAAAAATCAGTAAAAATGTTTTTACCGTGATGTCACCTTGTTTGAAATCGTTAGACAGATTTACATGACATTAACCTGACCTTTTCCCCCCATGTTTTTTTCTTGTATTTTCTTTTAATATATCTTTTTCTTATTTAAACCTAGTTTCATCGATTTTGAATTAAGAATCTATGTCCTACATCTATTCACCACCTAACGACCCATTGAGATGGTCGTATACAAAGTAGTGTCGTAAAAGTGACTTCAGTTACGATATTTTATAGATACATAACTCCGAGTGTGGTAGTGCTCATAGACTTGATACCGAAATTAATGCTTCTGTAGTTATTGTCATCCTATGTTTTACATCATTCGACTTAGTTTTCATGTTATTTGACACAGCAGATAACCTGCACCGGTATATGATTTTACACTCATTCAGGGATCCATGTTTGATATACCGGCGGGACTAGACGTACATCTTGGTGTGTGTATGCCAGATAGCTGTAACGTATCGGAGACGAATGCCGTGTTAAATACCCGTAAGACTTTTGTCTGTGTATTTATAATCCTTTGTTTTAAATGGACGATTCTTTATTTCTTATCGCTTATTTATCGTTACTGAACTATATTACATCGTGTATTGTGTAACCATTGGAGATAGTTAAACTTTCTGTGTCTGTCTGCCGTCCTATAACTGTTACCATCACCTATTATTCACCAAGATATTTGATGTATTTTCAGTATTGGGATTACTGCCCCTTGGTGAAAACAAACTCAGTGCTTCGAATGTCGCTTGTTCCGAACGTCCCGAGTATGACGACCTCGCTATCGGAGGATTGTAAGTTTGAAATGGCAGTTTCAAAGGTCTTGAATTATTCTTTTTTTAAATGTTGAGTTTCTAAACCCTCCCCAATAGCCTACAAAATATAAAGCCTGTGTCGTTTGTTCAATCCTTTTTCTCTGAGACAAAATATGCTAAGAAATGAAGTATGAATTTCAACTCATTTGCAATCAAACACAAAATCTACACGACAAAGGAAAATGTTTGTTAATGACAAAAATAAAATGAAAGCTTCATAAATAAATGCCATGTTTTGTATTTATTCCATATTGTACGTATATAATGTAGTTTATCTAGTATAAAATTCAATTTCCATGATCTTGTCTCCCCTATATGTAATTTTGACCTAGTTATCGACATTGCCATGAAGTAAGACTAGGATATCAAGTCAATATACGTGCGTGTGTGGAACACTAAAACAGATCAATTCGGTAGTATTGGGTTAAACTTAGAGAATCAAGAAGGAAAAAAGTATATCAATTCGGTAGTATTGGGTTAAACTTAGAGAATCAAGAAGGAAAAAAGTATATCAATTCGGTAGTATTGGGTTAAACTTGGAGAATCAAGAAGGAAAAAAGTATATCAATTCGGTAGTATTGGGTTGAACTTAGAGAATCAAGAAGGAAAAAAGTATATCAATTCGGTAGTATTGGGTTAAACTTAGAGAATCAAGAAGGAAAAAAGTATATCAATTCGGTAGTATTGGGTTAAACTTAGAGAATCAAGAAGGAAAAAAGTATATCAATTCGGTAGTATTGGGTTAAACTTAGAGAATCAAGAAGGAAAAAAGTATATCAATTCGGTAGTATTGGGTTAAACTTAGAGAATCAAGAAGGAAAAAAGTATATCAATTCGGTAGTATTGGGTTAAACTTAGAGAATCAAGAAGGAAAAAAGTATATCAATTCGGTAGTATTGGGTTAAACTTAGAGAATCAAGAAGGAAAAAAGTATATCAATTCGGTAGTATTGGGTTAAACTTAGAGAATCAAGAAGGAAAAAAGTATATCAATTCGGTAGTATTGGGTTAAACTTAGAGAATCAAGAAGGAAAAAAGTATATCAATTCGGTAGTATTGGGTTAAACTTAGAGAATCAAGAAGGAAAAAAGTATATCAATTCGGTAGTATTGGGTTAAACTTAGAGAATCAAGAAGGAAAAAAGTATATCAATTCGGTAGTATTGGGTTAAACTTAGAGAATCAAGAAGGAAAAAAGTATATCAATTCGGTAGTATTGGGTTAAACTTAGAGAATCAAGAAGGAAAAAAGTATATCAATTCGGTAGTATTGGGTTAAACTTAGAGAATCAAGAAGGAAAAAAGTAAAGGGAAACATAACTATCACAAAACTAAAAAGCTTGTGTATATGGTACTGATGACCTCTGACCTTTAAAAGCTTTACTGTGTATATCTTGGTATCATGGTATCAACATCTCTATCGGGCTGGAAATTGGTGGTCATTGGTCAACTTTAAACGATCAAAATCTGGGTAGGGTATATATGTGAGCCCAAGCTCATGTTCCTTTTGGTTGTAAATATTGTACTGTTCATTTTATTATCGCAGTGTGTAGTGTGTTTTGTCCTGATAATGTTGTTCTTTATTACAGTACAGTGTGTGGTGTGTTTTGTCCTGTTAATGTTGTTCTTTATTACAGTACAGTGTGTGGTGTGTTTTGTCCTGTTAATGTTGTTCTTTATTACAGTACAGTGTGTGGTATGTTATAATGATAATGTTGTTCTTTATTACAGTACAGTGTGTGGTGTGTTTTGTCCTGATAATGTTGTTCTTTATTACAGTACAGTGTGTAGTGTGTTTTGTCCTGGTGATGTTCTTTATTACAGTACAGTGTGTAGTGTGTTTTGTCCTGGTGATGTTCTTTATTACAGTACAGTGTGTGGTGTGCTATAATGATAATGTTGTTCTTTATTACAGTACAATGTGTAGTGTGTTTTGTCCTGGTGATGTTCTTTATTACAGTACAGTGTGTGGTGTGTTTTGTCCTGATAATGTTGTTCTTTATTACAGTACAGTGTGTAGTGTGTTTTGTCCTCATTATGTTGTTTCTTATTACAGTACAGTGTGTGGTGTGTTTTGTCCTGGTGATGTTGTTCTTTATTACAGTACAGTGTGTAGTGTGTTATAATGATAATGTTGTTCTTTATTACAGTACAGTGTGTGGTGTGCTATAATGATAATGTTGTTCTTTATTACAGTACCGTGTGTGGTGTGTTATAATGATAATGTTGTTCTTTATTACAGTACAGTGTGTAGTGTGTTTTATCCTGATAATGTTGTTCTTTATTACAGTACAGTGTGTGGTGTGTTATAATGATAATGTTGTTCTTTATTACAGTACAGTTTGTGGTGTGTTATAATGATAATGTTGTTCTTTATTACAGTACAGTGTGTAGTGTGTTTTGTCCTGGTGATGTTCTTTATTACAGTACAGTGTGTGGTGTGTTTTGTCCTGGTGATGTTCTTTATTACAGTACAGCGTGTGGTGTGTTATAATGATAATGTTGTTCTTTATTACAGTACAGTGTGTGGTATGTTATAATGATAATGTTGTTCTTTATTAGAGTACAGTGTATGGTGTGTTTTGTCCTGGTGATGTTCTTTATTACAGTACAGTGTGTGGTGTGTTTTGTCCTGGTGATGTTCTTTATTACAGTACAGTGTGTGGTGTGTTTTGTCCTGGTGATGTTCTTTATTACAGTACAGTGTGTGGTGTGTTTTGTCCTGGTGATGTTCTTTATTACAGTACAGTGTATGGTGTGTTTTGTCCTGGTGATGTTCTTTATTACAGTACAGTGTGTGGTATGTTATAATAATAATGTTGTTCTTTATTACAGTACAGTGTGTAGTGTGTTTTGTCCTGGTGATGTTCTTTATTACAGTACAGTGTGTGGTGTGTTTTGTCCTGATAATGTTGTTCTTTATTACAGTACAGTGTGTGGTGTGTTTTGTCCTGATAATGTTGTTCTTTATTACAGTACAGTGTGTGGTGTGTTTTGTCCTGGTGATGTTCTTTATTACAGTACAGTGTGTGGTGTGTTTTGTATGTTCTTTATTACAGTACAGTGTGTGGTGTGGTTTATCCTGATAATGTTGTTCTTTATTCCAGTACAGTGTGTGGTGTGTTTTATCCTGATAATGTTGTTCTTTATTACAGTACAGTGTGTGGTGTGTTTTGTCCTGGTGATGTTCTTTATTACAGTACAGTGTGTGGTGTGGTTTATCCTGATAATGTTGTTCTTTATTCCAGTACAGTGTGTGGTGTGTTTTATCCTGATAATGTTGTTCTTTATTACAGTACCGTGTGGTATGTTATAATAATAATGTTGTTCTTTATTACAGTACTGTGAGTAGTGTGTTCTGTCCTGGTGATGTTCTTTATTACAGTACAGTGTGTAATGTGTTTTGTTCTGATAATGTTGTTCTTTATTACAGTACAGTGTGTAGTGTGTTTTATCCTGATAATGTTGTTCTTTATTACAGTACAGTGTGTGGTGTGTTATAATGATAATGTTGTTCTTTATTACAGTACAGTGTGTAGTGTGTTTTGTCCTGGTGATGTTCTTTATTACAGTACAGTGTTTGGTGTGTTTTGTCCTGGTGATGTTCTTTATTACAGTACTGCGTGTGGTGTGTTATAATGATAATGTTGTTCTTTATTACAGTACAGTGTGTGGTATGTTATAATGATAATGTTGTTCTTTATTAGAGTACAGTGTATGGTGTGTTTTGTCCTGGTGATGTTCTTTATTACAGTACAGTGTGTGGTATGTTATAATAATAATGTTGTTCTTTATTACAGTACAGTGTGTGGTGTGTTTTGTCCTGATAATGTTGTTCTTTATTACAGTACAGTGTGTGGTGTGTTTTATCCTGATAATGTTGTTCTTTATTACAGTACCGTGTGGTATGTTATAATAATAATGTTGTTCTTTATTACAGTACAGTGTGTAGTGTGTTCTGTCCTGGTGATGTTCTTTATTACAGCACAGTGTGTGGTGTGTTATAATGATAATGTTGTTCTTTATTACAGTACAGTGTGTGGTGTGTTTTGTCCTGATAATGTTGTTCTTTATTACAGTACAGTGTGTAGTGTGTTTTGTCCTGATAATGTTGTTCTTTATTACAGTACAGTGTGTGGTGTGTTTTGTCCTGATAATGTTGTTCTTTATTACAGTACAGTGTGTGGTGTGTTTTGTCCTGATAATGCTGTTCTTTATTACAGTACAGTGTGTGGTGTGTTTTGTCCTGGTGATGTTCTTTATTACAGTAGAGTGTGTGGTGTGTTTTGTCCTGGTGATGTTGTTCTTTATTACAGTACAGTGTGTAGTGTGTTTTATCCTGATAATGTTGTTCTTTATTACAGTACAGTGTGTGGTGTGTTCTGTCCTGGTGATGTTCTTTATTACAGTACAGTGTGTGGTGTGTTTTGTCCTGGTGATGTTCTTTATTACAGTACAGTGTGTGGTGTGTTTTGTCCTGGTGATGTTGTTCTTTATTACAGTACAGTGTGTGGTGTGTGTTGTCCTGGTGATGTTCTTTATTACAGTACAGTGTGTGGTATGTTTTGTCCTGATAATGTTGTTCTTTATTACAGTACAGTGTGTGGTGTGTTTTGTCCTGGTGATGTTGTTCTTTATTACAGTACAGTGTGTGGTGTGTTTTGTCCTGATAATGTTGTTCTTTATTACAGTACAGTGTGTGGTGTGTTTTGTCCTGGTGATGTTCTTTATTACAGTACAGTGTGTAGTGTGTTTTATCCTGATAATGTTGTTCTTTATTACAGTACAGTGTGTGGTGTGCTATAATGATAATGTTGTTCTTTATTACAGTACAGTGTGTGGTGTGTTTTGTCCTGTTAATGTTGTTCTTTATTACAGTACAGTGTGTGGTATGTTATAATGATAATGTTGTTCTTTATTACAGTACAGTGTGTAGTGTGTTCTGTCCTGGTGATGTTCTTTATTACAGTACAGTGTGTAGTGTGTTTTGTCCTGGTGATGTTCTTTATTACAGTACAGTGTGTGGTGTGTTTTATCCTGATAATGTTGTTCTTTATTACAGTACAGTGTGTGGTGTGTTTTGTCCTGATAATGTTGTTCTTTATTACAGTACAGTGTGTGGTGTGTTTTGTCCTGTTAATGTTGTTCTTTATTACAGTACAGTGTGTGGTGTGTTTTGTCCTGATAATGTTGTTCTTTATTACAGTACCGTGTGGTATGTTATAATAATAATGTTGTTCTTTATTACAGTACAGTGTGTAGTGTGTTTTGTCCTGGTGATGTTCTTTATTACAGTACAGTGTGTAGTGTGTTTTGTCCTGATAATGTTGTTCTTTATTACAGTACAGTGTGTGGTGTGTTTTGTCCTGCTGATGTTCTTTATTACAGTACAGTGTGTAGTGTGTTTTGTCCTGGTGATGTTGTTCTTTATTACAGTACAGTGTGTGGTGCGTTTTATCCTGATAATGTTCTTCTTTATTACAGTACAGTGTGTGGTGCGTTTTGTCCTGGTGATGTTGTTCTTTATTACAGTACAGTGTGTGGTGCGTTTTATCCTGGTGATGTTGTTCTTTATTGCAGTACAGTGTGTGGTGTGTTTTGTCCTGGTGATGTTGTTCTTTATTACAGTACAGTGTGTAGTGTGTTCTGTCCTGGTGATGTTCTTTATTACAGTACAGTGTGTGGTGTGTTTTGTCCTGGTGATGTTCTTTATTACAGTATAGTGTGTGGTGTGTTTTGTCCTGGTGATGTTGTTCTTTATTACAGTACAGTGTGTGGTGTGTGTTGTCCTGGTGATGTTCTTTATTACAGTACAGTGTGTAGTGTGTGTTGTCCTGGTGATGTTCTTTATTACAGTATAGTGTGTGGTGTGTTTTGTCCTGATAATGTTGTTCTTTATTACAGTACAGTGTGTGGTGTGTTTTGTCCTGGTGATGTTCTTTTTTACAGTACAGTGTGTGGTGCGTTTTATCCTGTTAATGTTGTTCTTTATTACAGTACAGTGTGTGGTGCGTTTTATCCTGATAATGTTGTTCTTTATTACAGTACAGTGTGTGGTGCGTTTTATCCTGATAATGTTGTTCTTTATTACAGTACCGTGTGGTATGTTATAATAATAATGTTGTTCTTTATTACAGTACAGTGTGTAGTGTGTTTTGTCCTGGTGATGTTCTTTATTACAGTACAGTGTGTAGTGTGTTTTGTCCTGATAATGTTGTTCTTTATTACAGTACAGTGTGTGGTGTGTTTTGTCCTGCTGATGTTCTTTATTACATTACAGTGTGTGGTGTGTTTTGTCCTGTTAATGTTGTTCTTTATTACAGTACAGTGTGTGGTGTGTTTTGTCCTGGTGATGTTCTTTATTACAGTACAGTGTGTAGTGTGTTTTGTCCTGATAATGTTGTTCTTTATTACAGTACAGTGTGTAGTGTGTTTTGTCCTGGTGATGTTCTTTATTACAGTACAGTGTGTAGTGTGTTTTGTCCTGATAATGTTGTTCTTTATTACAGTACAGTGTGTGGTGTGTTTTGTCCTGCTGATGTTCTTTATTACAGCACAGTGTGTGGTGTGTTTTGTCCTGTTAATGTTGTTCTTTATTACAGTACAGTGTGTGGTGTGTTTTGTCCTGCTGATGTTCTTTATTACATTACAGTGTGTGGTGTGTTTTGTCCTGTTAATGTTCTTCTTTATTACAGTACAGTGTGTAGTGCGTTTTATCCTGTTAATGTTCTTCTTTATTACAGTACAGTGTGTGGTGCGTTTTATCCTGATAATGTTCTTCTTTATTACAGTACAGTGTGTGGTGCGTTTTATCCTGATAATGTTCTTCTTTATTACAGTACAGTGTGTAGTGTGTTTTGTCCTGGTGATGTTGTTCTTTATTACAGTACAGTGTGTGGTGTGTTTTGTCCTGGTGATGTTCTTTATTACAGTACAGTGTGTGGTGTGTTTGTCCTGATAATGTTGTTCTTTATTACAGTACAGTGTGTGGTGCGTTTTATCCTGATAATGATGTTCTTTATTACAGTACAGTGTGTAGTGTGTTTTGTCCTGGTGATGTTGTTCTTTATTACAGTACAGTGTGTGGTGTGTTTTGTCCTGGTGATGTTCTTTATTACAGTACAGTGTGTGGTGCGTTTTATCCTGTTAATGTTGTTCTTTATTACAGTACAGTGTGTGGTGCGTTTTATCCTGATAATGTTCTTCTTTATTACAGTACAGTGTGTGGTGTGTTTTGTCCTGGTGATGTTGTTCTTTATTACAGTACAGTGTGTGGTGTGTTTTGTCCTGGTGATGTTGTTCTTTATTACAGTACAGTGTGTGGTGCGTGTTATCCTGGTGATGTTGTTCTTTATTGCAGTACAGTGTGTGGTGTGTTTTGTCCTGGTGATGTTGTTCTTTATTACAGTACAGTGTGTAGTGTGTTCTGTCCTGGTGATGTTCTTTATTACAGTACAGTGTGTGGTGTGTTTTGTCCTGGTGATGTTCTTTATTACAGTATAGTGTGTGGTGTGTTTTGTCCTGGTGATGTTGTTCTTTATTACAGTACAGTGTGTGGTGTGTGTTGTCCTGGTGATGTTCTTTATTACAGTACAGTGTGTAGTGTGTGTTGTCCTGGTGATGTTCTTTATTACAGTACAGTGTGTGGTGTGTTTTGTCCTGATAATGTTGTTCTTTATTACAGTACAGTGTGTGGTGTGTTTTGTCCTGGTGATGTTCTTTTTTACAGTACAGTGTGTGGTGCGTTTTATCCTGTTAATGTTGTTCTTTATTACAGTACAGTGTGTAGTGTGTTTTGTCCTGGTGATGTTCTTTATTACAGCACAGTGTGTGGTGCGTTTTATCCTGATAATGTTGTTCTTTATTACAGTACAGTGTGTAGTGTGTTTTGTCCTGGTGATGTTCTTTATTACAGCACAGTGTGTAGTGTGTTTTGTCCTGATAATGTTGTTCTTTATTACAGTACAGTGTGTGGTGTGTTTTGTCCTGGTGATGTTCTTTATTACAGCACAGTGTGTGGTGCGTTTTATCCTGATAATGTTGTTCTTTATTACAGTACAGTGTGTAGTGTGTTTTGTCCTGGTGATGTTCTTTATTACAGCACAGTGTGTAGTGTGTTTTGTCCTGATAATGTTGTTCTTTATTACAGTACAGTGTGTGGTGTGTTTTGTCCTGGTGATGTTCTTTATTACATTACAGTGTGTGGTGTGTTTTGTCCTGTTAATGTTGTTCTTTATTACAGTACAGTGTGTGGTGTGTTTTGTCCTGGTGATGTTCTTTATTACATTACAGTGTGTGGTGCGTTTTATCCTGTTAATGTTGTTCTTTATTACAGTACAGTGTGTAGTGTGTTTTGTCCTGGTGATGTTCTTTATTACAGCACAGTGTGTAGTGTGTTTTGTCCTGATAATGTTGTTCTTTATTACAGTACAGTGTGTGGTGTGTTTTGTCCTGGTGATGTTCTTTATTACATTACAGTGTGTGGTGTGTTTTGTCCTGTTAATGTTGTTCTTTATTACAGTACAGTGTGTGGTGTGTTTTGTCCTGGTGATGTTCTTTATTACATTACAGTGTGTGGTGCGTTTTATCCTGTTAATGTTGTTCTTTATTACAGTACAGTGTGTGGTGTGTTTTGTCCTGGTGATGTTGTTCTTTATTACAGTACAGTGTGTGGTGCGTTTTATCCTGTTAATGTTGTTCTTTATTACAGTACAGTGTGTGGTGTGTTTTGTCCTGGTGATGTTGTTCTTTATTACAGTACAGTGTGTGGTGCGTTTTATCCTGTTAATGTTGTTCTTTATTACAGTACAGTGTGTGGTGTGTTTTGTCCTGGTGAT